TGGCCTCTGCCGCTGCTGTTGTTGCGCCATCACTGGACAATCCAGAGCTGCCGTTGGCTATCGCATGGATTTGGCGGTATCGTGGGCTGAGATGGCTGTATCCGTATGGGCGGATGCTGCTAGTTCGTCTCCGATGCGCAAACCGTGGGATCCCCAACTCTTCCTCAGCCTGCCTCAGATCCTCGTCCAGGTCCCCGTCCAAAACTGTATCGATCGTCATGAATGAATCCAAAGACTGAATGCTCAAAGCCCTGGTCAGCTCTGAGATACTCCCCCTCCCGCTACGTCCATGCTGATGTGGGTAACGACGGTAGACTGAACTGGCGTTGGAGGCGACCGAGGATCGACGAACTCGGGTGCCAGCAGGGTTGGTGGCACTTGCACGGCGGCTGCGAGTCTTGCTGCCACCCTTTCCGGTCTTGTGCCGGACTAAGTTGCTGCTCGAGTTCAAGTCCTCATACCCTTCACTATCATCCTCACCCCCAACATCTTCATCCTCTTCGTCGTCATCGCCTCTCGTCAAGGTCTCGCTCGACACCTGCTTGGCATGCAATGACGATCCAGTAGACCGCTTCTTTCCGAGGGAAGGACTTGCAACCCTCCGCGAGCTCGACATCGAGTTCCTCAACCGCATCGAGGAGCCCATCAAGACTGGGATCGTCAACGACAAGGCAACTTCGCTCTCCTGCAAAGACTCGCCAAGGATACCCCTCAGCTTCTTGTTTCTTTTCCACAGCAGAGTTCGATCCCGGTGTGAGAGCTGGTTCACGGATAAGATTGTAGGATCCATCACCGCGGGCTTGACCTTGTGCTTGTCGCTCTCGCTCAGTGACCTCTGGAGCCGGTCGCCCTTCTTCTTCTCTTTTTCTTGATCCTGCTGTTGGGCGGCTGTCGTCTGGGAAGTGGACGAGACGACGCCAAAGTCGTCATCCATGTGGAGTTGGGATGACAGTTCCTGGGCAGTCAACTGGGCGCCAAAGAAAGTTGATAGCTTGTCGGCTTTCTTTCTCCGATTGTACATGACATGTCGGTCCAAGGAGCCTGCCCCTGCAGTGTGAGATGGGCGATTCGAGAGCAAAGCACCATCCTGATCCAGACCCCGGGGTGAGGCATAGAACTCGGGTCCACCTCCTGTAGGTGTGGTGGGTGTCAGTCCTGAAGGGGGAAGCGAATGAGGCGAGATAGAGCTGTTGTTGAGGCTGTTGCCCATGATACTGAGGATCGACAACTGGCGACGCCGTTCATACCCTGCAGGAGAATCTAATTCATGGTCTGACAGAGATCCACTCCAGAGAGGGTGCGGGTGTGCAGCCAAGATCTTCCTTCCAGCAGGTAGCCCATCCACAGAGGTAATCGACCGGAAGTGTCGACTGTTACCACTGCCCGTACCAATATCCTCTTGACTGGTAGACTTGCGACTGTTGTTGTTGCCGTCGTAGTATTCGCCAGAGCTGCGCTTGAACTTTTGGAGGATGTTCATGGATCGTGATCCTGTAGACTTGGAGGCGCCTGGGAAGTGGAAGAGAACTTCGTGACCGTTACCACTGTCGCGCTTGGACTTGTTCTTCTTGGGACGGCCCTTCTTGTCCAAGTCGTGGATCGTTGAGGATGAGAGCGCGTATGCAAGGGGAGAGCTCAGCATGGGAACGCCACTAGGACCAACGGCCGCAAGGCTGCCAGCACCAGCAGCAGTTGACGAGCGAGAGCTGGGTGGGACAACGAACCCGCCATCCTCAGTCTCCTCTACCGGCCTGAGGGTGCCATCAACGCGAGATCCAAAGAACTTTGTCAGCTTGTTGTTTCTCCTCAACAGCCGTTTCTTCTGAGCAGCTGTCAAACGGACCTGGTCGTTAAAGTATCCGGCCACCATCCACCGTGTCGTCCTCCGCCCGTTGGCCACCGTGTCGACGCCTTCATGGGACAAATCATGGTCCAACGAGTACGCATCATCATGCAAGTCTCCTGGAACCATCTCCTCACTCGCGTTAGAGTGGTGTTGTTGACCCTTGTTGTTACGCCCTCCACTCAGTCGCTTTGTGAACCGGTTATTCCGGAACCCACCTCCAAAACCTCCCGCAATACTGCTCGCCGCCGACCGCTTGCTCTCCGTCATGGCCGTTAGTTGAGGCCCCGAGTTTCCATGAAGGTGCCCCTCAAAGGTGTCAAAGTCATCAAACTCGTCTTCATCATATAAGTCATCGTCACCATGGTGACGAGGTCCCAATCCGAGGATGACGCGACCGGGGTGCCGGATTGAGTGGGGGATGGGGCCAAAGTACTGGGACATGGTCTTGGCCAGTGCCTCCTCCTTATCGCGGGACCGGTCGAGGTCTGTAGTCGAGTTGTTCCAGTTGTAGAGGGTCTGCAATTTGGCAGTCGGGTGGCGTGAGCGGGACCGAGCGACGGTCGAGAGGATCACGGAGCTGTCGGGGCAATAGTGAAATTGCAGCGGGCCATGCACCATTGCCTTTTCATACTCTCCCGGTTCTGGAAGAAAGAATATGTTGGAAGCAAGTGAAACAAGGCAGATGTAAACCCCCGTTAGTATGCAGAGCAAAGAAAAAAAAAGCAAGAAAGATTGTAAGCAGGTGGAATGCGTGTCAGCAGCCATGCATTTACAATACTTCTGCATGCATGCACATTGAATAATGCAATGCATATCGTTGAAACATTCAAAAGAGAAACAAGCAAAGTAAAAAAGGGAAAAAGGTGACTTACGATCATGCATCATGCGCAAAGCACTCTTCCAGAGCTCACTATCTTCGAACCGGACAAGTGTGTGTCCCTTCATGAGCTGATATGTGTGCTCCTGGGCGCCATCAAACATGTGGCGATCCAATGGCCAGCCGATCGCTTCGTCCATCCGACTGCTGCTTTTACTGCTTTTCCTCCAGCTCTTTGTGCTTGCACCGCTGTTGTTCCTGGAGTGGTTTCTGCTGTCGCTGATTCCGTTAGGATCGTTGGGGTCGAGGATGGGCCAGGGGATGTCGGTACGTGACTCGTCGCTGAGGTTGACCTGAAGTGGCGCGTACGTGTCAATGTAGGTCAGGTAGATATATCGAGCGTGTTGGACTGCAAACTCGGCCTCCTCCTCGTCCACCTCCCGTCTTAACTTGTTCAACTCTTTCTCATCCAGTTCATATTTTTCCTCTCGAATTCGGTCGCTTTTGGGGCTTTGCTTTTCATCCGAGGTACGCGGCTCCTTGTTGTTGCTGTTATTGCGACTGCGTTTGCCGTCCTGTCGATACGCTCGCTGCTGCTTCTCAAGTCGCTTTTGCATAATCTTGTGTTTTAACCTGTCGGCTCGCTGCATCTCCATGTTGGGCTTTGCAAAAAGCTCGACATCCATCCAGAACAGGAGGTTCTCGATAGAGTACTCCTGGAAGCAGAACTGCCGGAATAGGTCTAGTGCAATCGTGTTGTGAAGGATCTCTTGGAACCGTGCGTCGTTAGACGAGGCCTCGAGGTTCAGTAAGAGATCGGTGGCCCGGGAGCGTGGACGGAACGAGGAAGAGGAGGAGGAAGAGAAAGTGGTGGTCGTGGCGATAGTAGTAGGGGTGGTTAAAGCTGTGGGGACACCATCGGCGTTAGTCGCAGCGGTGGTGTTGATGGTCCCGGCTTGGGGAGAGAGGTCGGCACCGAGGAGGGAAGAAGATAGGGAGTTTGAAGAGACGTATGGCGATGCGAGGAGTCTATCGTCGCTGGCGGTATTGATTGGTGTCGCAGATGAACGATCGAGCGCGTCTGTGGCTTTTGTAGCTGTGGTAGTTATCGCGCTATTGCTCCCTTTCGATGCAGACGGTGTCTTTCCTCCACCTTGACTGCTGCTGGATTGGTACCGAACCGCAGAGAGGGGCTGCTGTTGGATGGATATCGAGCTGGGTGAGAGCTCTCTACCGGCACCTACATCGCTCTCACCACCACCAACAGAGTGTGGGCTCTGAAAGGGTGTCGATGCTGTGGTGGCGAGGATAGAGGAATGGACCGAAAGGACGTCTGACTCGTTTGAGAACGAGATCGGTGACGATAGACGTTGTGGTCCTTGTCCTTGTTGTTGCTGGGGTAGTTGTGGATGTGGTCGTTGCAGTAGTGAGAGGGAATTGGACGAGATGGGCGGACTGAGGTGTGACATGGAGGAGGAAGGTGGAGGTGAACCGGGACCAGCAGAGTCTGTAGGGTGGTGGAGACTGTCTTGACTGTTGATGACTGCCATCGCTGTCAGGTTTGTCAATGACATTTTGCGGCCCATCGCTAGGCCTTTCCAGAAATGAGCCGGCATTTTTTGGAGGGTGGGTATAGAGGTGTAGTGGGTTTTGTTCGAGTGTCGATTGAGAGGAGGAGTGGAAGAAGAGTGAGAGAGGATGGTTGAGGATAAAGATGAAGTACGGGAAGGAGTAGTGAGAGAATCGAGAGAGGAAGGGAAGGAAGGAAGGAGAGAAAGAGAGGACGGAGGGGATGAGAAATGGAGAAGAAAGGAGGGAGAGAATAATGAAGAGAAAGGAGAGAAGAAGAGTGAAGAGATTAATGAAGTAAAGAAAGCGAATGTTAGTGACAAGTTGATAACAAGATGGGTGGGATGTAATGTTTAGGGAGGTTGTTCAAAGGAAAAAAAACGAGGAGGGTGGGTGGTCAGGCACACATTTCCTTTGGAATGAGGGGGGGATGGGATGGTCATAACGTAACGAACCATAACAACAATTAGAAGAAACAACAAAGCAACACAGCAGCCCACGGGTACAAAAAGAAAATAAAACGATTAAAACAAGCAAAAGAGCAAAAACGAAAGTAAATATGAAAGCAAGGAAGCAAGGAAGCAAGGAAGCAAGGCAGTAAGGCAGCAGAGCAAGGAAGGAGAAATGAATTATAGAACGTGGCGTGGGTATGGGTGTATGATGGAGCGAAGAGGGGGGTTCCTGCGTTTCTTCGCTCCATCGTTCCATCGTTCCATCGTTCCTTACGTTCATTATGTTCCTCGAAGTGTTCATTTTGTTCATCAACCAAAAAGGAGTAAAACGCGAGACTGACACGCTTCATTTCAGATGGCACTGTTCGTTGTCCCTGTCTCATGTTTTCATATCTGATCATGTCTCAGGAAGTAATTTTATAATACAAAACGACAGGGGTACAGGTAATTGATCCCATCACTTACAAGACATCTCAAGACAGAACCATCCCTTAGATTCATGTTACTGCTGCCTTTTTCTTCATTTCGCCGACACCATCATGGCCGTTTGTTTGCTTTTCGTGTATCATAAAATGACGGGAGGGAATGTTGCCTCCTAACATATCTCATTGCCACTTGGTTTGTTTGTATTAACTTATCCGCCACCTTTCTTCCTTCTTCTCTCGCTGTCTGTCTTTCCACTTTCAACAATTCGTCTGCACATTTGTCCATCTGTCTGTCTGTTGTCTATGTTTGTCTTTCTCTCTGTACTGTCTGTCTGTCTGTACTCTCCCTCTGTCTCCTCCCCCCCCCTATTTTTTGTCGTCCTCCCTCTGCCCTCTTGATCTTATCCTATTCCCTCCTTCCTTCCCTCCCTCCCCCTCTCCCTCGTACCACGCGGAGACAACGTACATATAGAGAACGAGAAGAGAGAGGTCACTTTCGTCGTTCTCTTTCTCTCTCTCTCTCCTTCCCTCAATCGCCCTCCTTTGCCATCCCCTCTTCCTCCTTTTCTCGGCCGTTTTCTTAGCATCTCTCGCTCTCTCCTACATCGCATGCATCTTTCACCCCCTCCCTTTCCTTTTTTTCTCTTTTATCACACCTTTGTTCCCAAATCCTTCTTCGCTTGTCCCTCCCTTGTTTTTTTTATCTAAAGAGCGTCTTTTGTTGCTATTATTTTGTGCTTTCTATTTTGCCAATGGATCGGCCCATCCTTTGAATAATATTACCCCGAGTGACGACGGACGGACCGCCCAACCACTACTTTTTCTATTGTTCCTTAGTCCACTTTTTCTTCAGGCCTTCTCTCCTATTACCCTCATACCACTGATGTCAAACAGCGACAGAAAGGAAGAAAAGAGAGCCCTCGTTTTGCTCACAACCCCCCCCTCTTCCTTGCCAGTTTTGCCTTTTTGTGGAGAGGGGAAGGGCGGAAGAGAATAAACTAATAAACCCCTGACTGGCAATTTCTCTTTTGTGTGTGCCATGTTGCCTTTGTTTGTTCTTGCCTGTCTGACATTTGGGCGCAAAACCCCATGGAGATCAAGGTCGGTAAACAAAACTGACACACGTAATTCTTGGAGGGGGGTGGTTCGGAGAGAGAGAGAGTGGGGGGGAGGGAGATGGAGAGAAGGTAGATTGGGATACTTTTGTGTATTCCATATTTGATTGATACGTCCCATGCGCTTCCCTACTTTCTCTCTGTTTTTAGGGGTGATGAACCATATAAAAGCCGTTACATATCCAAAGAGATAAAGGACGATGTACACACACGTAAAGAAAGGACAGTCAAGAATTGTGAGCACAAAACAGAGATGTGAACGATAATGATCTGCATGTCGGTGTAGTTCTTGTCTTTTTTTTTGAGTGTTTCTCGGAATGAAAGAAAGACAGAAAAGGTAGTAATGAGAGCAAGAAAATCGCACGCGTGAATGGCCTGGGCTGGGCATTGTTATTCCTGAGCGCGGATTGAACAACATGAAGAAAGCGGGAAAGGTGAAGAAAGGGGGGTCCGAATTTCTTTTTCACTTCAAGAATCATTTCAGTCGTACAGCATATCCTTGAATGAACCCTCCACTAATCCATCTCCGTTTCCCATCATCTTCTTATGTGCCACAGTCTGTCCCTCTTGCGCCCAGATCCCGACAACTCTTATTCCCCACAGTAACACCCACCAACCACACTGTCCCACACTCAAAAAAAAAATAATGAAAGAAAAAGAAGGTTTGTTGTTTACCTTGATCGATATTGACAACGTGGACGGTACTGCCTCTTTCCAGCACATCCTCTACGCGATCCGAGAACCGCAACTGGACACCTCGCGACTCGGCCTCGTCCCTCTCATCCACACACTCCTCCTCGTCCTCTTCATCGTCCTCATCTTCATAATCCTGCGACAGGCTTCCATGGTCATACCTCCCGCTGGTCCTTCCAGTCCCCCTCCTCCTCCTAGGCGGCAGCTCGACATGATCAAACAAGGCACCGCACTCGATGACAGGGTACCGTGAATGCCCAACCTCGCGCTCGACCATATACGCGTACTCGGCCTCGATCTGTCGTGCCAATTGCTCGATCGTAAACGACTTGGGAACCGTCAAGGAGAGAGATACACCGCGGGGTTGACTGAGGAGGATATGGAGGGGGACAAAATTGGAGATGGAGGAGAGTGTCTTTTGGCGACGGCGGTTTTGCATCAATTGTTGGAGGTGGTCTTGTTCGTTCTGGTCATGTTGCTGTGGGTGGTGAGCGCGTCTTGGTGTATGTTGTTGGTCGTTGTCTTCTGTTTGGCGTTGCATCTTTTTTTGTTTTTTGTTTTGTCTGTTATGTTGTAAAGGTGCTGTTCGGTTATTGGGTGTCGCTGCAGGTTGTTGTTGTGAGGTGATTGAGTTGTTCCTGGATATTTCTTATCCTTGGTCTAATTGTGGGTGGATGGCTGAGTGGGGTGAAAAGAATAGAGAAGAGAGGAGAGAAGAGAGAACGAGGAGAAAGAGGGATCGCTTTGTTCAAGTCAGTGAGGAGTAAAGGAGTGGAATCATGTTTGACCAATGGAAAAGAGGGGTTAGAAAAGATGGAAGGAGAATAAAAAGGCCCACGCACGCTCCGCACGGGTGTGATGAGGGCTATTTCCGAGAAATAAATAAAAGCAGAAAAAAAGGCAAAAGGCAAGACAAATCGGCTCACACTGGCCAACATGCGTCTCTCTTTGCTATGCTCACGTTTCTTTTTTATTTTGCTCTCTTTAGGTGTCCGAATGTCGGGTGTTTTTGTTGAAAAGGGTGTCTTGGGGATGAATTGAGTGAAGGAAGGATGGAAAGAAGGAAAGAAGGAAGAGAGCTCGTTGCTCCTTGAAAGCAAGGAGGGTGAATGTGGGTGAGTACTCACAGGACACAGAAACACTTCTTGGTTGTCGTCGGTTGTTGTTGGTGAGGAAGGGAACGGTGAGAGGAGATGGAGAAAGGGAATAAGGATGAGGGACAACAACGAAGAAGAGAAGAAAGACGAGGGAACCGCCTTGGTGTTGTTGACAGAGTGGGAGGGAGGGTACGAAGAGGGAGAGGGAGGATAGGACAGTAATGAAAAGAAAGGAAGGAAAAGGGAAGGGATCGGGTGTAACTGTTCTTTTGATGCGAGTTGAGGATGGGTGTATTATTTTTGTATGCGATGTACGCTTGCGTGCACAGTGATGATGTCGATAGTGGTGGTGGTGGTGGTGGTGGTGGTGGTGGTGGTGGTAGTAAAGAAAGGGGATATGATGATGGTGAGTGGCAATGGTCAATGGTCAATCAATAGGCAAAGAGAAGGGAGTAAGGAAAGAAAGATAAAGAAAGATGAGTGAGGTGCATCACTGATGACAATTAAGCGTTTTTTTTTTCTTTTCTTAACAGAGAGCGATCTCATTTGTAGCACGCTCATCCATACACACACATTGCAGGAACCCCTTCTCTCTTCTCTTCCTTCTCACTCTCTCTTCCCTCTCCTTCAATATCTTCGTCTCAACTACCCCCTCTCTTTTCTCTCTTTATCCATGTGTACATTAAATGCCATGTATGGCTCCTGACAACAAAAGATCAAAACAGACAAAAACGCCTCGTACTGAACATAACGTCCATCTCCCTTCTAGACTTTAATCTGCAATAAGCGCCTTTCTTATATAGGGCAACCTACATTCACACCTTCCGCTTGACGCAAAAGAAACAATGCATGCCCCACTCCACTGATCCCAACCCCGTGTTCTCATTTCGCCTTTTTTTTTTTTTTTTTTTTTGGGTCTGTTTGCTTGTTTGCTCATGGCTTTTTTGTTTTGCTCCGGGTTCCCGTCCTTCCTCGTCTGCTTTATCTTGTAATTTTGGACATTTTTTCAAGGGGGAGTGTCAAATCCAAATTAGATACAGGGGAAGGGGGGAAAACAGAGGGTTGTGTAGTGTATGTATGAAGTGAGTACATTGACAGGGGAAGAGGCCTGAGTTGGTTTAATGTCTTGGTTGGTTTGGTTGGTTGCATGTTGACTGACTGTTGGATCGCATTTTGACGATGAGAGAAGGTCAAAGCGGATGGGGAGGAGAAAGAGATGGATTGATGTTTTTGTGCATGGGGAGCGCGAGTTCAGTTGTATCCATCCATCTTGTCCTTTTGTAACTTGTGGTTGTAATTTGTCGCTCTAATTTGTTGTTGTAATTTGTCGTTGTCGTTGCCGTTGTTGCTGTTGTGGTCATCATTGTCGTCAGTGCCATCGTTGTCATTGTTACTCATTGTCGTCGGTGCCATCGTTGTCATTGTTACTTCTCTTTGTCAGTGCTCCTTCTCGTGTCGTTCTAGTCTTCCTCGCTATCTCTGTGTCCCGCCCATCTCTGGGTGTAAAACACGCTTTGTTTCTTCTGTTTTTATCTTAAAGGCCCATAGGCAAAGAAGGGAGGTCGATGCATACAACCTACACATTGTGATACCACCAATCCAACAACCACACGAACCCAATTGACAAAATTAAAAACACGTGAAGGAAGCGAAAAGAGATATATTTCGCGTGCATTGGACAACAACAACATAAAACAGAACGACACACCACAGACAAAGAAGATACCTGCACTTGGAGCTTACTCGTCTCACTAATAGAGCGAATGACATTATCGGTGTCGTAGTGCAAGGCGGTGGGGCTGGCGGACATCCCGTCTCTGTATTAGCTCCTGGCCAAGGACGAGACGGTGGGGTTAGAATGGGCCTTGGCCAAGTTGGTGCTCAGCAGCATGGTACAAGAGACAACGATGACCATGACACCTCCGACGACAACCCCACCGACGATGACAATTGCGACAACGACTAAGGAGGACTTGTGAAGAAGGGTTCCGCATTGCAGTAGCGGCCGAGCCTGAGAGCGCGTCAAGTTCGGAGACAGCCAGGAACCTGTTGGACCCTCATGGCGTGAACGTTCAGCTATCCGATCGCACCTGACAGTAATAAGACCAAAGGAGAATCGACTTTGGTAGAGAGCTGAAGAGGAGATTCTCGATGATGTGCAGGGAGAGCTGGTCGAAAAGTCGGTGGTTATCAAGAAAGCGGTTGTGGGTAAGAATCTGACGGTTGTAGTTGAGAGGAAGGCGGCCGTAGTTGAGAAGTCGGTCGACCAGAAGAAGGCGATCGAGCCCCCACGCGCCCAATCCCAGACTGTCAAGAAGGTCCGGTTCGAGGAGTTCAGCAAGATTATCCCGTCCGAGAACCCTGACAGAAGCCGAGGACAAGACGGACGCCGTCAAGAAAGTGAACATTGAGACAACCCCACTCAAGAAGCCCGAAACCGAGGCCACCGCCTCAAAGAACGTTGATCCCGCAAGGATCCCTCACGCCTCGTCCGAGATGAGCGTCAAGATATCCGAGCCCAAATAGGCTAAAACGGTTGAGCCCAAGAGTCCACGGATGGTGTCGTCAAAGCAGAAATTCCCGGTTGAGGTCGTTGAGCTCAAGAAGAACGCCGTTGTCAAGAAACCCTCTCCTTTGAAGACCGATCCCATTGTGGTCGCGGTAGAATCCGAGGATGTCGAGGTAGCGAAGGGTTCCAAGGCCAAGAAGTTCGTTGTCAAGAAGGCGGCGACAGAGATATCCATTACCAAGCGGGTCGAAAGTGAGACAACCGCACCCAAGAAGGCCAAGTCTGAGGATGTCGAAGTGGTGAAGGATCTCAAGGTCAAGAGGGTACTGGCCAAGAAGCCCAACACGTCTGAGCTAAAGTCAATCAAGAAGGTCCAAGTCGAGCGCGTTGAGACGGCCGATGTTGTCAAGACGAAGACAATCAAGATTGCCAAGGACAAGAAGAAGATGGCCACCAGCGCGACCTCGACTGTGGTGTTATCGACACCAGAGAGAACTGACAATTCACGCAAGCAAGGACATCATCCACCGCCACCATTTGCACAGCTCCTTCTGCAACGACCCCAGGAAAGCCAAAAGAGACCGCAGGATATATAAGATCATTTGAACCGCTCGACCAAAAGGCGCCTCCAATACAAGTTCTCTGCTCCTGGCTTCAGAGGCTACGGCGACGTTTAATCGCGTCTCGCGCGGTACACGTCGAGTGGCAGAAGGATTGGTGTTAACCTTTTCTTCTTCGTTTTGCCTATTCTTTTTTTTTCCAACTTTCTTTCAATGAGCTCAGTTCTCTCTCTTTCTCTTTCTCTTTCTTTTTTTTTTCTTTTGGTATAGACACCATCTTCGTACCATATGTTCTTTCCCCCTTCTGCACCTCTTTAGCTGTGCCATCACCTTTTTTTTTGCTTTTGTTCCCCCACCCTCTTTTCTACCGTTGATCAATTTGACCATTTTTGTGTTTGTTTTTTTCACCTCCTTGACTGTTTCTTTTTTTCTGCTGGCCAGATACAAGAGCACAGCCTCCTCCCCACAAGAAAAACAACTAAACGTCGAATAAGGAACAATGCCAAGAAACGAAACTAGCTAAAGATGAACCACAACTTTATGATGTCAGTCTTCCTGCCAATCCAATGTCCGCTCGAAGCATTCCTTCTTTCCCCCGTTCAAGGATTGAAACAACAAATAAAAAAAAAACAAAAGTGTGGGAGAGACAGCGGGGGCACGGACTGTGCGACAAACGAATGGTACATGATCGCTGCAATGGTGGGATAAGGATGAACATATTTTTGGTACAAGTGGGGGAGGGCAGAAATGCGAATAAGGACGGCTGTAATGGGACCATGAAAACAAACAAGAGTGTTGTATACATGCACATGTTGGTTCACAGAAACACTAGTATTGATGCTATGATTGAGGGAAACCACGCTGATCAAGGATGGATATGGCAAACAACACATGGATGTAGATCCGGAAGTAAAAATGAAAAAAGAATGGATCCTCCAGGGGTTTAGGTTCCAACAGTCCAGGAACCATCACAAACAGGGAAGGGTATTAATATACATTCATGACGAGTCTAGGCTGTATGGTGGTGGTGATCTGTGTATGAGTAAGTACATGGTGCGGGAAAGCAATTATTGTGTGGACCATTGAACGAATAGAAAGAACAGGAGAAGCAAAAACAAAAAACGATCGACCAAACGATGATGATTTCTGGGACAGACGTGTTCAAAATGCATTTGACTCTTGTGTCTTGGTCGTTGCTTGTGGTTGTCGGCACGCCAAAAGAACAAAAGTCGACAACTACGCGGCCTGAGGTCTCTTTTCACCTCTTTGACCGGAATGTGTATCCGAGTGTAGGGGTAGGAGTATGTCTTTGTGTGTCGATGGACTGCAATTGATGGCAGTCAGGTAATTCTTGCCTATCGTACCTCAATGGTCAGAAACAAAAGAGCAAGGAAACAAGAAAGCAAGAAAACAAGGTGTAAGGTACAGGGACGAAGGAAACAGGCAAGAGGTGTGGGTGACTGCTTCCTCGACCTGTCGACTTTAAATTAAAGGTTTTTGCCGCACATCCACACAGGCAGAAGCAGGCGCCATATCGCAAAAAAAGGAAGGGGTGCCGCTAATCAGCAGAGAATAATGAGAATCTCGATTCGACTGATTGATTGGCTTGGCTTGGTTCTCTCTCCTCTGTATTTCCCCTCCTTTTTGTTTCCCTCTCTTTTTTTTTTTTCTTTTCTTTTCTTGTCTTTCTTGTCTTCTCTTCATGTTCTTTTCTTCTTTTTCTTTCCCTTTTAAGTTTTCTTCTCTCTCTTGGCGATCATCTCTCATTTAACAACCAACAAATGTAATAAATACTAGCTCCCCTCTCTTCTCTTGTCCTCTTCTCTTTCTCTTCTCTTTCCTCCACAACAACAAGCAAATATACCCCATGACGATATCCCAAATCATTGCAGAGGCAATGTTCAAACCCTCCAACTCCTCCCCTCCCAAAAAACCTGCCCCCCAATCCCGCCAACAACAGCTCCAACAGCAACAATACCCTCGGTCAAGTAAAATCTGCTGCCTCAGCCTCCACGATACCAACAAGATCCGCCTCATCAACGCACCCCTATCCCTCATCAGCCCACTTCGCCTGGCCATCTTTGAGACCTGGAACCAACCCATCCAACAGGAAACCAGCCTACCCCAATGCGGCGGACACGAGTTCAAGCTCAAGGGGAAACCATGGGGCCCCCCTGGGAAAAATGGACCACTCTTGGACTCTACAAACTTGATCCTTGCCATGTTAATGGTGCTAGAGATAAGGGGGTGGTCATTGATCATGGCGTCGAATGTGAGTCACCTCAGAGATGAAAAGGACTCGTTGTTCTTTGAATGGGTGGGACTGAAGGGTTTGTTGTCGTCGCAGGAGAGAGATCTGGACGAACTGACACTTGTCGACCCTTCTGAACACCAGATCGATGACAGGGGAAAGGAGGCGAAAGGAAAGTGGGACAAAGATGTAGAAGGGGATGTTGAGTTATTTACGGTAGAGTTACTCGGGTATGATATGATCCGGGTGACCGGGGCACCTGTTACTGTTCTCACAGCTGTTCGCCTTGCTATCCTCAGACACTGGACACAAGGGTAAGTTTATTCGTTTCTAGAGTTTATATTTGCGCTTGTATACATACGGCAGAAGCAAAAAACAAAATGATGTTCCCATGTTGCTAACCTTTTATTTATACTCCGTCTCTACCTTCCTTCCATTTAGAATTGAGAAGGAGGATGCAAAGAAAGGCGCGTACGAGTTCAAGATGGAAGGATTCCCATTTCGGACATGGGGGTCTGAGACTAGCATTGAGAGGTTGATGATGTTGATCCAGGCACTAGAGAATATGCGGCTGCATGGGTTCGAGCTATGTAGTTTGATGGATTTGGATGTTGTCGGCAAGGGAAAGCAGGAGAAGCCTGAGAAGCAGCAGAAGAAGGGGAGGAATGACGGGAGAGATAAGCAGATACTTGATTCCTGGGTTCTCCGACGTGGTAACAGTGGTCGGCGGAAAGATGAGCTTAGGCAGAGCAGACTGGGGGGCGATAGTCGTGGAGAGGACGAGCGGGATGGATGGGTTGTCCGGCTGTAGTCGTCTAGGAAATAAATATTTAGTCGTCCAATTACACGTTTTTTGAATGTACAGTACAGTACTTATGAGATATTGCGCAATACCCCCCAAGGTCTAGGTCTAGGCGTAGGGAGTTTGAGGGAAAGTTCGATTGGATACGAGTGAGGGTGTCTAGTTGTGTTGCTGTACAGTAACGCGCGTCTCTTTTGGTTGCTCTGTTGTGGATGCGGACATATTTCTTGGCATTCAACTCCAGTCGACTTTTGCAATGCACATGTTCAGTTGTCTCTCTCCCCTTCAGCTCTCTCTTTTCCGCGTCGGACAATTCTTTTTGTTGGTGTTCGACTTTGGCCTATAATTTCCTTTTCCGGCGTAATTGGCCCATCGGCTGTTGCTGCTCAGCCATTCATCTATCAGCCTCCACAGAAAGAAAGAAAAATACAAATACCGAGCCTTCTTCCTCGAAAAATTACAGACAACTACCAACAACGACGACAACAGCAAACAACACCGAGAACTACAATACTCAATTGAAAAAAAAAATACAACAACCAACAAAAACACCATGTCTTCCTACAACGAGAAACTCCCCGCTTATACCTCAGAACCCTTCACGCCGCCTGCATTCATCCGCCCAAAGACAAGCAAGATCTGCTGCATCACCCTTCGCGACGCCGACAGACTCCTACTCATCAACACACCGATGCAAGTTATCCGCTCCATCCGGCTCTCGATCCTAGAGTCCTGGTACAAGCCCATCCAGTCCGAGGGCACGTACTATGGCGGCTACGAGTTCAAGGTCAAGGGTAACCCCTGGAGAGGGTTCCGCGAAGAGACGGTCCATTCCCGGAAGCTAGTCCTGGGGATCTTGAGGCGGATGGCGTTTTTGGGCTGGAAGTTGATCCAGGCTTCAGATGTTACCAAGAGTCGATGTGAGATGGATTCATTGTTCTTTGAGTTCAACGGCGATGAAGGAGAGGAAGGGGAGGGTGAGGATGTCGAGAGGGAGGGAGAGATTGTGGATGGAGAGAGAAGAGGGATCAAGTTGGAGGTTGGCCAGGATACTGGTGTGCAGATGTTTGCGTTGAGCTTTGAGTGGTGGGACCGCCTTCGCGTCATCGAGGGTTCGCCTGAGAACATTGCTGCCATCAAGGATGCTCTTCAGACTGTCTGGACCAAAGGGTACACCATCTTCTCCACTTTTCACACCATGGGCAAACATAAATGTTGAATGCTTCCTTGTTCACGCTTCTTAACGACCCAACAACCCCTCCCTCTTTTTTTTTGTCACCCCTATTAGAATCCAATTGGAGAAGGACTATGCGGGTTCGTACGAGTTCAAGTTGGGGGGATCGCCATTCAACCCCTGGAAGTGGGACTCGATCGAGGCGAGGATGATGTTTATCCAGATCCTGGCCAACCTCAAGTCGCAGGGGTTCTCGCTCTATGCGTCGATTGACATTAGCCCCAACCAGCAAGACGAGAAGATTGAGTCGTGGTTTTTTAAGCGAGACAACAACCAGAAGGTCAAGGAGGAGGGAACCGAGAAGCAAGCAGCATGTCAATTTACCCGTGGGGGTGATGACAAGAAGAATGGTGTCCTTGTCGACTTTTGAATTCCTTTGTTTTGAATGAAAAGGAGACACAATAGCATTTTCCAATTGACATTTGTATTACCAACGAATAAACAACAACAACATGAACATAGCGATCATACAGTATTCATGCAACATTCGTGCAGGGAAGGCACTAAAGAGTTTATTTTCCAGAGAGAACACGACCACCCTACACCACTGTCAATAAAGGCCTTTAAGGTTCGATCATGCTAAAAGGGTGATAGGCATCATACTGGCCCTTCCAAGCATCCAATCCCTTCATAGTCCCCTCTAACTTCTTCAGAGGACTATCGACATCAAACTTCACACCCATCCCTTCCAGGACCCTGATCCAGTTCAACAACACAAGGTCGGGGTACGACAAACTATTTCCAAAGTAGTATCCATTGTTCCCGTTCTTGTTGAGCCAGCGCTCATGCGTAGCAATGAACTGAGGTAAGGTCTTGGTCATGAATTCCGAGGTCGGGTCGGCGATGACCTGTTGAATGGGCGTGGTGCTGCTGAAACAAGGGGCGTAGAGTTCCAAATAAATGTTGAGGGCGACCGATTTACGGACAGCGGCTTCCTGCGGGGTTGTTCCGAGGAGACCAAACTTTTCGGCCAGGTATTGCTACGACAAAAGAGAAAAAAAAAGGAGGGGATCGTTAGGAGATGAGATAATGAATGAATGAATTGTGTAGGAGACTACAAGGTAGTAGGTCCGTTAAAGGAGGGAGGATAGTACCTCGATAGCAAGGGTCTCGCCCAGTTCAAAGGTCGATCCGTCAGGCAAGGTCTCGATCAGCACGGGGACATGGCCAAAGGGGTAAAGGGAGCGGTCGTTCGCAACAGAGTCCAGGGTAACAAACTCGTTTGTGTACTCTTGTCCTGCAAGGTGAAGCAACGCTCGAACGATGCCTATGTTTTCAAAAAAGAGAGAACGATAAGTATATATGGTTGATTGAAACAAGGTTCACGGATGGCCAAGGGGTTTTGATATGTGCGCTCGTGTTTCTTTATAGTATTTACCAGCACGGCCCATGAGGTTCATGTACTTGACGACAAAGATCGACTTGGCAGTGGTGGACGTGTTATGAGCAGTCATTTTTTGAGTTAGGAGGGGAAGTGGGGGGTGTGTGTTGAAAAAAAGAGAAAAGAATGAAGGGAGAGTATTTATGCGAGATCAAAGGAGGAAGTAAAGTGAAGGTCCATGCACCGTGAATGACTTTTGGTGGGGAGGAAGGTCAATTGGTGCTGTCTGTGTATTATGCGGTCAGCCAATGGACATGGTGGCAATTTTTGACAAACAAAACAAACAAGCAAGTCTTCACCAGACAGGGGCGTGAATGATGTCTTTTCAGACGGGGCATGGAGCTGCGCACCACGCGGCGTCTCTTGGATGAGAGTGCACAGTAAGGAGTAGGCAGGTAGGGAGAGGAAGAAGACAGGCCGCAAGCGAGGCAAACAACGGATCGGCGTCATTCTTGGGTAGTAAGATGACCACAGGTAGGTAGGGAGTGATAGGTGGACGCGAAGAGAAAGACGTGCAATTGAGCATTCTCGGAGTGGTAGGAAGGACGGATGTGTGCGCCTGTCCTCGGTAGAAAAAAGAAAGAAGAGAAGAAAAGAAGGAATAGAGCGTACACCCAGTCCAGTAGTAGCGTTTCAGCCCAGGCTAATCTTTCATTTTTGTCGAGTCGACACCGCCCCTTGTTTCTGTGCGTGAGTGCGTGTGCGTCCCTTTTCTGTTCAAACTCATACTGCAGTGCACACCCTCTTCTTGCTTCCCCTGTCTCTCTTTCTCTTTCTCTTTCTCTTTCTCTCTCTTTCTCTCTCCCTATCCATCTCCTTCTCCCATCATCATCTCTCTCCTTCTCTCCCTCCTTCCCCACTTCCACTTCCACTTCCTCCTCTTCCTCTTTCTTCTTCAATCCCTCTCAGCCACACACTAATCCTTCCCTTCATCCCTCGACACCCACACTCTCATACACTCACTCTCACACAGACAAACAGACTCGGCGCATACAGAGTACACAGGGCACACGCAAGACAAAAAACCCAAAGGATCAACCTACCATCCTCCTCCTCTACTGCTCTACTGCCAACGCTGTCCACTCTTCCCGTCTTTGGATCGTGTCCTCCCTCCAAGCCAGCATCTCTCTTTCTTTCTCTCGCCCCTTTACATCTCCTGCCCGCTCCCATCACTGACAGCTGACCCATGGACCACGCTCTCCCTCGGTAGTTGATTCGATCAAACGACACCCTTCCCGCCCACCCGATCGACCTACTATCATCACCAGAACATACCCTAGTCATCTCACACACAAGGGCACAAGGACGTATCAACACCACCTCCAAAACCGCCAATGTCCAAGTTCCCAGGTAAGCCATGCGCGAAAGACAGATCGTTCCATGCAAATGATTCGAATCCATTAACGCGGCTCACGCAAACCTTGCCTATTCTTTGACGGACTATCGTTAACAATTGTCTATACTTCTTGTGCAACAAAAACGATAGGCCATACAAACCACCCACGCGGTTCTTTTCCGCAATACCCACAAGGATCAGGACCGGGACAGGGACAAGGAGGTCAGGGCGGACCAATTAACAGCGGACTCGGACAAGGCCCACCCATGCCTGGTCGGATGGGCTTCAATACTGGTCGCGTCACAGGTCCACCACCAATGGGGTATCACACTGGAAACCAAGGCCAAGGAGGCTATCCTGGGGCCTTTACTACGTCCTCAGGAATGCCATACAACAACAATATGGGCAACAACAACATGAACATGAACAATAACAACAACCTCAACGCCGGCAGCAATTCGCAGATGCCCTACGGACACGCATCCCAGGTCTCGACACCAACCCACTCACCCTATGCGTCCTCACCATCGTCATCGGCACATCTAAATTCGAGCAAAAGCCACTCGTCGCTGCCCTTGCGGCGGTATATTTTACTACCACCTCCAAGGAAGCGCAAACTGCACAAGACCAGCGATCTGGGTATAGCTGCGATGGACTATTTGGGAGATGACATATGCGCGCTACGACTCGATGGAGTGAAAACTACGCTTAGTCCGTTCCTGGAGATCATCACTAACATGGTGTCCTCTATTCATCTTTTGCGATTGATATACCATAGGATTTCCTGGGGTGTTTCCACAAAAAACAGGCCAGGACGAGGATCAGATGACTCACAGCAACGTGAAAACGGGCTACATCGACAAAGGCATTATCCAGGTAACCAACTGTCCCCCCGCCTGGCAATGAGGTATTAACTGTCAACAAGAAGGATCAGTGTTATAATACGTCATCAACTCATACCTACAAAATCTTTAGAACGAGACAGTATCGGCTCAAGGAATATTGGCAGACAGACTTCAGGACCCAAAGAAGCAGCACGATCTTGGGGCCTTCATGGTCCAGGTGTTGAAAAAGAGGCAAGAGTCGAGCAAGATCACCGGGTAAGGAGACCATTTTCAATTCGCAATGATCAAGTGTTCTAGTGCATGATAGCAGGAACGAAAGAACAGGAATATGAATATGGAAGCTGACCAGTAATACTGATTCTATTTGGCAATGGTCAGACCAAGCACGTTCAGACCACCAAACCGCGCTACGTTGAACGATCAAAAGAAGGAACAGTGGCTATCGGATCTGTCAGGAACGACACCTCTGCGACGGCTCTCAAAAAGTGTACCTCACGGATTCAAAACAGAAAAACTACTGGAGGCCTTGGCCCAACGACAAGTACCCTTGTTGCGTGCCACCTGGTACATCAAGATCGTGGCACTGAGTGAGATGCAGGCTCAGCGGAATCGCCCGTCAGTAGCACAGAGCCAGTACTCCACCGATTGGACAGCGATCGTCAGCATGTTTCTCAAAAAGCAGCTCTTGGAAATCAACCCTCATTCGACCTCAAAACCAGCACCTACGGCACTGAACGCATCCAGCGGCTCCCAGAACATCAAACCATGGACAAGCGAGGAGGCCAAGGAGAGATGGGAAGCCAAGTGGCGGTACTCGGTCATGCTTACAAAGTGGCAGTACAACGAAGGATTGCTGGATCATCGGCACTTTCTCCGAGCGACAGTGGAGCAACTCTCCGGTCTTTGCTTTGAGCAAATTGCCTTGTTGCTGAGTTTGATTGCCATGTTCTTGTCAGAGTATGCGCGGTCCAGACTACTCATGCGCCTCTTGATCGAAGGCCTTCTCAATTCCCTTCAGCAGGTATGTCTCTCCTAATTATGAACCTGTTTTTCTCAGAACCGCGAGCATCCCATACAGCACTTGTGACTAATACACGTCCGTTTGATTTTACTGCGTTCAGGTTCAGCGGCATCCTACCTACAACCAGACGTTATTCCGGTACTCGTATCTTGAGCTGGAACTCAAGAGGATGCTTCAAGTGAGTTTCAATTGTCTATTATTAGGCCGGGAAGTGCAAGCGGGAGTTGTTTCCTGGCACTTTTTACTGACGACCGACTTTAAATCATCATTTATATGTTTTCAATAGTCCATTTTCTTATCGACACCGGACATGTTTGTGATACCAAAAGCATGGACAACGCACCCGACCTTGCTGCAGCAGGTTCTCCTCGAAGACATCCAATCCAGCCCGCACAAGCCAGCATCGTTCCCTAATGTTGGCTCAGTTCTGGAAAGTCATTACAACATGATTCAGGCGCGAGTCCGCGTATTCACCCACCTCAACTCGACTGGCATCGAACCAAAGATGAAGAGCTCGCGGATAGGGGGGAACGTCGAGGTACTGCATTTTGCGGAGCAAATTCTATTGTGCGCAATTTAACGGCGAAACTCTATTTAGGTAAAATGGTTCACTAACATCGCTTGTATATTTCGTGGAATAGATACTGGACAAAGTTGGTCCATTTTCGGATCTGGATGAGGTGGCGCACGAGTACTTCGCGGACCTTATGGACGAGGACAACGGATCGTCATTACCAACATCGCCATCTAAGTCTGTCTTTTCGCCCCGATCCTCGTCCCCATTTGCAGCACCAGCAGGAACATCTGCGGCGTCTGCATTCCACCACCAAGATCTGGCATGGAAGGCTCGCGTCAACACGCTGTGCGAGTGGGCGATCACCAACTCTCGTTATGGCCATCATCGGATCTTTCTTGTAGGAACACTGCTCAGATTGTGGCGAGATAGCCCAAGCCTTGCGGTCCATCTCAGCCCGCTTGAGAAAGCATCTCGGTTACAGTCCGCTCTAATCGAGTTTCTGGACTCTTTCAATGGCACCCATCATCCACTATCACAATCGGACGACTCCTCACATGGCCATCATCAGCAGCAACAACACCTTGACCACCATCAACAACACCTTCAACACAGCAGCGATGATGTACTGGAGGCGATGGCGCGACTCTTTGGTAACCTCATCCACGACCGCTTGTTCTCGTACCAGCAATACATCCAGAGGCTGATTGCGAGAGGCGATTTGCAACCGAACAAAAGGAGTCAGGAGTCAACGTTGCGACACCTGAAATACCTTCAATCGTTTCCTTTGCACCAAGATGCCGAGGCGCATCATTTCAACCAACGGAGAGTTGTGCTCTTTGGCGTTGATGGAGAGGACGACTATGACCGAGAGTGCTTCGAGACAATCACGGCCCAAATCAAAACCCGACTACCGTACATGTTCACTCCCGAAGGTACGTAATACTTGCATTTTAATGTCGGAATTAGTACATTTGTACCTACAACTGAGCGCAGCAACGGTACTAAATCTTCGTTCTGGTTTTTTTTTAATCTTAGCGGCGAATATGACTGTACCGATCAAGGACACTCTGCAGGACGGTCAGGAACTGGCAACACCCCTCCCTGTGCAATTGACGGAGCTGATTATCTCTGCGAGTCGATTTTGCCAGATCCGGGTCACATCCCAGTGGTTACTGGAGGCAGTGAGATTGTACGTCGTCAAGCAGATCCCGATTGGAGAAGACAACTGGAGGGTTATGACATCGCCAGGATCGTCACTGCTGAACGGTCGTCAGTTTGCGACCATTGTGAACGTCATGGAGGTCGCTAGCGATTTCCACTCGCTTTACGAGGTATGCCTTTTTCCCGCTGCCTTTATATGTGATCATTTTCAGATCTGCGCTTTATCTTTCAGGAAATTAATCCATAGTTTTATCTATTTAGATGTGCATATGGCTTATGGAGCACACTTCGGACAAGACATTGTTGACGTACACTGTCAACGTGGCCAGGAAGCATTATATGGTGTGGGCCGCCATGGGTGTTTTGACACAGTTCTCCCAGGCCATTCTTGCCAAGGTAAATATACTCGTCCATTGTGTTGGAGTTAGTATTCACCACCAAATTCAGTGTCGAAATGAGACTAACAACGCACTTTACAACCTCTATGATGAACTAATTAGCACTACAACCTGCAAGGAAAGAACGTGTTGTTCAAGGCACTGCCCCGATTCTTGGCATTGGAAGCACACAACGTCCCAGAAGACATTCGGATAGAGGTACGATGTGTTTACATCAATTAATTGTTGTTCTTGACTTTCAACATGTAATATTTAGAGACGGAGCGAAATCTAACGCAACACTGTCTTGCCCCTAATAGCTCGAAGGCGATTTGGCGAGCTTGAAGACTTCGATACCCGCAGGAGCAACGATACCGGCCCAGATCCAGGAACTGCAATACGTTCTCAAAGATTCTTCTCCTTCAGCTGTCTCCATTACAGCCTCTGCATTGCATGCCAAATATGGCGGTCTTGCCCATTGGCCCCTTCGGCTTTTTGACGGCTGCATCGAAGCATTACGGAAACTGGATTCAACGACGCGGTCACAGTCGGACCATTCTCTCAACGGTTTCTCTTCCTCGGCAGCAGCGCAAGAGATCGTCAAGGCGTCCAGGACATATGCGGAGCTCTTGGTTGAGATGGCTGAGCGAGTCGGGAATGGTTGCATGGACGACGTCGTACATTCTTGGCTTCGGCTACATGATGTTGACTGGATGACAAGGGTGATCGGTGCAGAGGGTCATACCGAGGGTACAGGAGCATCCCAGCCCCCCATCTGGTTCCTCTCGTTTATGGTACAATTGGTCATTCAGGGCTTTTGTTCTATTGACATCCTGGCCCAGTACATGTGTGCGGACATGTTGACCAAGATCGCCGACACCGTTCGCCCTCAAGGAGACGACCCGCACCACCAGCTTCACATGGAGGACGTTCAGTTGCACCAGCAGCCAGACGCATCGACTCTGCGTCTTTGCTCAGCTATCGTACATTTGCTTCGACTTTTGTTACTGGAGGATGCTTCATGGAACCCTCGAGCTCATCATGCATACGGAGCAAGTCATCATGTTCTCTCAGCCGAGCACCACCCTCATCGACTCGGAATCCAGTTGACCCTAGCGGAGATCCACGCCCTTCAAACTCAGCGATTCTCAAGGTTGATGACCATGCAGCACACTGTCCGTCAGGGGGAGAAACGACAGAACGAAGACATGCAGGAGGCGCAGGATCCAGCAGACAGCGAAGGGTATACTTCGCTTCAGGAGCAGCAGATGATGCTGGTTCAGTTCCAGATCTCGCGGAGCCTTGTCTGGATCGAGTCTTGTCTCCCTTTGAACCATACGGTCTTACACGAGATCCAGGAGTACCGGAAGGACTGGGCTCTGTCTGCCGACTGGCTGCGGGAAAAATGCCTTGCCAACGTGGAGGGTGCCTACAAGATCTTTTTGCAAACCAGGCAGGACCAGCAGAGCTCGATTGCAGGACCAGAATCAGGGTTCGGTAAAGACAGCGCCAACGGCAGTCTTCAGGGGCATCAGGAGGTAGTGGAGCGCAAGATGATGGAGACATTCCAGATGTTGGTCGCCGAGAGTCATGAGAGCCTTTTGTTGTTGGATACCTATGGCGAGACGTCACTGACCCCGAGCATGATCCGTCAACGGACATTCCGGTCCATATTTTTGCGCGTGGATCGGTGGATCTTTGACCGCTGCAAGGTCGAGTTCTGGCTGCTGCTGGACACCGTTATGATGGAGCGAACAGGTCGGGAGAAACGGCCAGAGGGCTCTGGTCATAGCAAGGACGGGGTCTCAGCAGCATCCGGAGTTTCACCATCTGTGACGGAAGGGATGATGATGATGGAGGGCGTGACCATGACTTCAGGACCCGGATCGTCGCCTCTCGGCGATGGTACTGCGGGCGGAAGCAGTGGCGACTCGTTGCAACAGCTGATTCATATCTTTTTCCAGGAGTTTGTCCTTTCAGAGCGAGCCGACAAGGAACTGCTGGGCAGGATGCTGATCGGGATGAGGCATGATGTTGTCGAAGAGGTAAAAAAAACATTGCCAATTGTAACCGTTGACTGCATGTACTGTTCATTTATTTCATTGTACTGATCTTCACCAACCGTTCTGTATTGTGGATGATAGTTCATTCAATATGGATATGGCCTTTTGGCAGGACACCCGAGCGCCTCGTTTCCACAGAACGTAATGATCGTTCAACGACCTGTGGAGAGCGCCGATTACGTCAGGATTGTGTCCAACTTTCACCATGTAATGGAAGTGCTAATGAGAGAAGGCCAGCCAAACGTCACCCTCTCTCTGGGCGGCGACGAGCCATCTAGCCAGCAAGCAGCCAATGCTGCCACCCCATCCGCATCCACCCCATCAGCCACTGGATTCCAACCCGCAGCAACACACGCCGGTTCCAAGCGTGGTTCGGATGGTCTTCAAGGATTGGACGCCACGCAACTGGAGAACAGGATCGGGTTTGCCAAGAATTTGCTCTGGCAGCTCAAACGCTTTGAGGAGCGAATCAAGGTGTTCGACGTCATGCATGCCATCGGATGCACGTTTGATGAGGCTGCAAAGGTAGTTCAGGACAACGAGTCTGGACATGGTGACATGGAGGATCTGCTGTTGACGGCTTCGCTCCAGAAGGGTGACCCTCAGCTCAATTCGATTCAGCAACAGCAACGGCAGAGGCAGCAACAACAGACTACGGCATCATCATCCATTCACTTGATTGACCTCCGAACGTCACTGAGCCTTCGACTTCGTCTACTTGTCCCCTTGTTGCCAGTGATTCTCCAACACCCAACTTCGTCAGCTTGCGACCTCTCAACATATCTCATCAGATTGACCAACCTTTTGGTATCCTCGATTGTCCACGGTCACGGATCAGAGGAAAGGCTGTTTGAGTTTTGTCTGGACATGGTCTCGTGTCTGATGGATGAGGTTCTATTGCTCAGTGGTAGCCTGAGATGTGGGGTGGATGAGCTGAAGTCGATGAGGAACGATATTCTGAACCAGCTTCGCACAGGATTGCCTCAGATGACTACTTCGATCCCTACAGTGTTCGCCAGCAGGATATTCAGAATATTGCCCTTCCAGCAACACAACGTCTACTTTACCAGCCTTCGTATTGGTGGGGATTCGGGAGCGAACACCGCTGGCGTTGCAGGAATCAAGGCCCAGCACAAGGAGATCCTGCCAAGGCCGTGGGACTGGCTCGAGGACTGTGTTGGAGATGTCGACCAGGGATCACACCCACAGCAAGGTCAACAGACAGCCCAGAGTCCAGCGCTTGGCTTGGCGCTTGTGGATTCTAGTTTGATTTCGGGACTTGGCAATGGCGATAGTACTGGAGGTTCGGGACTTCTCTCTGGATCGGCTTCGTCGCTCCATGGAGGATCATCGTCGTCCTTGGCGGGAGGTGGTGGGGCCAGTCATGGCGGCGAGAGTTTGAACGATACTTCAATCTCCCTGACATTGTTTGGCGCCAAGCAGGTTCGAAAGTCGACAGAAGGAACGACCTACCAGATGCAGTTCCAAAATGGCCATGGTGGTGGAGACGACGAGCAGGAGCTATTGATGGTGGAGGAGCAGCAGCGTCCATGCGAGTACAACCACTCTCACCAACAGCAGCTTTGGATGCTTCAACATCAACGACATCAACAACAGCAACAGCAACAGCAACAGTTGCTCCTTCAACAACAACAACAGGAGCAACAACAGCAGCAACTTCAACAGCAACAACTTCAACAGCAACAACTTCAGCAGCAGCAGCAGCAGCAGCATCAGCAACCTCAGCCGAACGCAGACACTCCGAATGTGAACGGCGGCGGCGGTGTGGGCGGCGTGTCTATGCTGGGATCGAGATCGTCTTCTTCGTCTGGAGGCATCCGTTCTGGATCTATCCCACCGCTAGTTCGACAACAGGAACCCGACCCCGAGCAAGAGGAAGGACAGATTCTGGGCGACGATGACCTGGATATGGGTTGGGATATCACCGCTCCCTCGCTCACGCCCACACTTCCTGCTGCATCCATCGCCATACCGGCGACAAGTGGCGTTTCGATGACACCATCGATTCTGACCGGTGGTGGCGTCCCCTCGATGGAGGACGGAGAGTTGATCGAAAAGATGGAGGAAGGCGAGACACTGGACATGGGGCAAAGCACAAGCGGTGCTATGGCTCCTTCTATCCCGATGTCGATCACGTTGCCAACGATCCCTGTGTCAACCGCTGCTCCTACAGCAGTTCCTGCAGCGAAACCTCCGGTCCCCTCGAAAAAGAAATCATCAGGCAACACCAAGGCCGCACGTGCGGCGGCGGCATCTGCCGCTGCTGCTGCTGCTGCTGCCGCCGCCGCGGCTGCCGTAATTGCCAATGCTCCTCCAGCTCCGGCGACAACAACAGCGCCAGCATCTATGTCAGCCACCAAGTCACGCTCTGGCAAGGGTAGTCGGAAAGGCAGCAAAGCTCAAGTGACTGCGGGAACTTCAGTTGCAACGGAACCTATGTCTGCAGTGTCGACCTCTGTCACTGCTGCACCGATTACCTCAATGGCCCCCGGCCCCCCGTTGCAGACGACGATTGGCCTTCCGAACGCAGCATCCGTCACGGCAGCGCTGCCCCCTGTTCAACAACAACAGCAGCAGCCGATGCAGTTCATGCCGCAAGGTCAAGCTGGACAGTTCCAGCAGGCACAACCCTTTGGTCAACTTCCGCTTGGATTCCAAGGACAGCAGATGAGATCGGTTGGAGGAGCAGTAGGTGGGATGCAAGTCCCAATGTCAATCGCGTTGCCTGGCCAACCACAGCAGCCAGGCCAGATGAACAGCCACCATCTGATGAACATGAACGCAATGCGTCAAGGGCCAAACGCGATGGCGATGGCTATGGGCATGACAGGCGGGGCGAACGCAATGTCGACGGGTACAACGATCGGAGGAATCCATGTGCCGATGCTGAGCCAGCAACAGCTCCAACAACAACTCCAACAACAACCCGGCCAGCAGCAGTACATGGATCCGTCGGCGTTCTTGGCGACCTCGGGAGGAGCAGGCAATCAAGTGTTTGGAGCAGGGAACCCGATGAATATTAATTTGGCGCACTTGGGACAGCCTGGTGGTGGAGGGACTGGAGGAGGGTCAAGGGGACCGAACCAGCATGGAGGTGGTGGTGGACATGGAAATGGTGGACAGGGTAGTTTCTTTTAGATGTGTTTTTTTTTGGATTGTAGAATATTGTGGAGGAGTTGGACTTGTTTTTTTGTTTTTGGGATTATGGAGGAAAATGAAGTGGGAGGGAAAGTTACAGGAGGAAGGAGATTAATGTTGTAATTAAAAAGAAAGAAAGAAAAAAAAATCCAAGAATACTAGACCTGGCAACTTGGAAGTCCATTTGGTAGGAAAGGCGACAATTATGCTGCTCTAGACGTTTTTCCAGGAAATATCTGCGGCTGGAAACTGTGTTAAGTGGGGATCCTCGCACTTTTTGTCTGAAAGGTGACGACATTTGATGCAACTTTCATCTGAACGAAAAAAAAAAAAAAAAAAAAAACAGGCACTGCCCTACGACCATCGATTCGAACGAAGAACAGCATGTCTAGTCCTGACGGGCTTAGAGTTGAGGAAGAAAAAAAAATGGAGTTGCCTCCATAAACTCCTTCGTCGTCATCATTATGTGGGCCATTCCTTACTCGAGCCCAGGCACCCTTCAGCCAACAATCCCCACTTGGGGCGGCCATTCCGATAGTCGAACATCTTTCAGTGGAAAACGCTCGTCTTGAGCCTGTCTTGACTCGTCATTCAGTACTAGACACCTTCGAATTTGAGAAATGTACGCGTGCATCCACGGCTGTGGATATGAATAAATCAACAAAGCACCAACAACGCGCACCTGGAATTCTACTGAAGCAAAGATTGAAGGGACCGACATCGAAGGATGAAAAAAGCAAACGTCGCTATGAACGTTTGACTGCCACGAGCCAGCTGCTTACTGAACCTGCACTAATTCCCCCAGTCTTCCCGTTTACAGGCATCGGTGAGGTACCCCTTCAGTTCCCTTGAATTTTCTCCTTGTGCAACCACTCCTGAAGCACAAGCCCCAATTCATGCAATCTGCAGGGTGGGCGTTGCAAGCTCACCTTGCCCTGCTGAAGCGAAAAAGTGATACTTTGTGGCCCGAAAAACGACTGCGGAGCAAAAGAGCGAAGGTAGCGTCCAACGCTTTATTGGATAATGGATCTAGTATTTATTCAAACGCTCACACTGAGCAGATCGTTGATGGTGTAAAGTCCATATCGGTGATAGCAACCGCAATCATTGGTGTCTTCCTAGGGGAGCACTTCACCTTCATACGGCTCCATCAGCGTATTTCCTTCCACCTTCTCGGCAAACTGCTCAATATGCGTACTATGTGCCCAAGGCTTGCCCTCGATCTCGCTCCTCACCGTGCTCGCAAAGCACCCGCTCCACTTGTTCCTGGGGTACGCCTTGGTAACACTCTCGATCGTTTCCTTGGCGACCAAGTCTCCACATTGTCCCGCATTGTCCAGTAGTGTAGCGACTATGGTGATGCCGCCGAGGAAGGTGATGGAGCCCGTAGTGCCAACGTCCTGGTGGCGGATAATGGTCTCGGCAACCGCGTCAACGAGATCTTGAGGTGCGGAGGCTTCGCTCAGCCAGGACGAGGCAACGAAGGCACCTTTGAAGTCAAAGGACATTTTGGTCGTGTGCTGAAAGGCCTCGGCGGTGCCAATGTCGTGCAGCATGCAGGTGAGATAAAACGTTTCGGCAAAGTCCGACCAAGAGGCGAGTTGTTCGGGAAAGTGCTGTGCCATGATGATGGACCCGTAGACGTACACGCGGTAGCAGTGGTTGACGGTTTGCAAAGGCAGATGCTGGGTGGCTAGCGCAGTGATCTTTTGGGCTAAGGGCGTCGAGGGAATAGATACTGAGGAAGCAGTTGCCGGCTTCGTGTTTGTCGAGGAAAGCGAGACAACAAACTTGGCGGTGTCTCGTGGGACGGCAGCCCAGCCGTATTGGATAAGGGAAGACATGGTGTTTTGTGGGTGAGTATATGTGTGTACAGTGAGTGAGTGAGTGGATGAATGAGAAGAAGGATTTTTTTTGAAAGTGGAGAACTGCACAATATGTAGACAAGCGCGCAAATTGGAAACACACGTCATTCTTTTCCCACACACGTGCTGCGCAATTACTATTCGACTGCGCAGCGTTACATTTTTCCTTTTTCAGCCCCCCTACTGTCCCCAGCCTCGCGCCTTTCCATGTCAGTGCTTGAATCAATCATCCTTTTTGATCTACTTGCCCAACAGCTCCACCTTAGGCATTGCACTTCCAAAAAAAAAAAAGTCATGTTTACCTTGAATTCTCTCGATAATATCGTTTGGTGCTCCACTATTATGCATAACAAGCGCTCGGGCATAGGTCTTGTGTCCTTGAGGATTGCAATGACCATAGCCCATCTTTGTGCTCGCTATCGGAGAGCTGCTGTCCATCATCCTCGGGTCCCATACTTGTCCAGTGGTGTCGTTGTTAAGAAAGCATACACTTGGGTTTCTTGACCAGCTGACCTCCTGTGCCGAGGAGAATCGCGCCTTATTCGGCGAGCCTCAGTGTCACTGGCATATAGCATCAAGCGTCTATATTGCAAAGAAGAGTAGTTAGAAAGCACTTTGTGACAACACACCCAGCTTGCGGCCAAAAATAATATCCACGTTTGCTCAAGCGGGACATCTCAGTTACGCCGACGATATGGCTTGGTTTGAGCCGCGTTCAAGGCGTGTTTCCAAGACTGATAAACCCCTAGTTCATTCATGTCTTTTGTTTCCCGCCATGACTTTGCCATACCTAAACATGGACGAATCAACAGCCCAATCTCTTAGGCTTTGTCGCTTGTGCGCCATTGTTCGTGTGAAAGTGGCAAAAATGCCCCTTAAGTATATCATGACAAGTCAAAGCCGTAGAACAGATTACTCACACGATTACAGTAGCTCTCTTCCAATATTTGAGATTAACATTAGCAGGAGCTTCGCAAAGCCGTTTCGTTCTGAAAGATAACTCCATGTAATATGATTCAGGATCCGAAGATCTATTCGTATTCAACTAAAAATCGGAAAGGGCGTTAATCGTCGCGTTCTAGTATGGGTTCTGACTTAGAAGCGTTCAGCCATAACCCAACGGATGATAGCTTCGGGCCATTGCCTACTGAGTGAGTAGGCCCAAATACCAATTATCCAAATGAACGGTTCCTCTCGCACTAAGTCCAATTACTACTACTACAACATTTCATCAGTAGGGTATAACTAACCTGTCACACGACGGTCTAAACTCCATGTTTTTTGTTCCCAATTAGTGTGTGAACAATCCAATGCCTACTGAATTCTGCTTTAGTATGGTAGGAAGAGCCTACATCGAAGGATCAAAATACAACAATACAACATCGCTACAGACGGAATATGGGGATAATAACCTAACTTTTATCATTAGAATGTCTCGTTTGATGTTAAATGTTCGGTCAGGCACCTAATCGCCAAGAAAATGTAATCATCGCTACGCTCCGCGTGCTCGTAGCCATCTTTCTTATTCAAGCTCAGGTACCTTTGGCTGTCAGCCACCACGAAGATTTCTAAGGTATACAGGTTTGCAACTATAAACTCGGTTTTCGACTGTTCAATCCAGAACCACTCCCACCATACAATGAAAGCCTTCTAAGCTTCTTGAAGACCACCAGTTTTTCCAAGGCTACATCGTTTGGCGCCTCGTGATACTGTTTAAAGCATTTTGTGTCCAAGAGATAGTAATCTTGAAGGAAGAGTCTTTTCTAATTTTGTGTGCTCAATACGAGAGTTTCGAGCTCCTTGAGGCATTCGAGCTGCCCAAAGACTTGCACAAGCATCTCATCTCTGTTCTCATTTTCATCAAGAGCAGTGTTATTCAGTCGAAGGATCAATTCCTTCAGCCCAAGGCAGACCTAGTTGTTGGGGATAACATTGCCGATCTTCGGCCCGGTGTAGCTTGCATTGTCTTGACTCATTTGTAGTCTCTTGAGATGTTTGCAGGCCGTTACGATCAGACCTAGGTCTACCCTCGTAAAAGCCTCTCGCATGTGAACAGCAATTTCCTCCAACGTGTCAGCATGATGTTCAACCAGTATCTGAATAACCTTTTCTGTTGTCCCACAAGGATGGTAATTTTCTGAATACTTTCCTCAAGCGATCTGCACCAAGCCTTGGCTTCTCAGATCTTTGTCATGGAAACCGGCTTCCATCATCAGACTCTTTCTGGCACATCCCCGTATCATGGCAAGAACAAGCTTTATGTCGCCGTAGAAGCGACCAAATCTCTAGATTCTTCAACCTTGGGCAGGATACACGTATTGTCTCATGCAGGACGTTGGTGGAACCATCAGACGCGATTTCAGGTATGCGAATACTCTCTAGATCTTGACCATAATGACCGAGCAATGGCACTAGAGCTTTGACTAGACAGCTGATAATATGGTAGAGTCGAGGCCTTGGGCCGAGTATGGTAGACTAGGAGCGTCGGTCCTGCGTTCGGATTCCGCCGTCGAGTTGATAGCATTGTCGATATTGGCACGTATTATAGTTGCGGTCACAAGTAGAAGCAGAACTCTAGGACGACCAGTCGACGTAGGTAGAGGCAAGTGTCCAAGAGATCATGAAAGGTCTCCTTCCAGACTCCCATGCCCGTTATCGTGAATCGTTCCAAGGACTACAGCTTCAATACTAGGCGCGGAGATGGAATAATGCTGCATCGAGCTCCCCGTAGAAAGGTTTCGCTAGACAGCTTGAGTTGCGCCACACGAGGGCTGATATCAAGAATATCGAACAGTATGGCGGGTGGTGGTGGTGTCTCTTGAATGAGCAAGGGTTTTTGGATCTGCAAGTGTCCTTGTCCTTTGGTCAGGGCTATTGGCGTTGTTATGGTTGGCATAATGTGACAGGTGGCAAACAAAGGGACAATGGCAAAGCGGACTTTGAGTGATCGGTTCACAGGTACAGTACCCTCGGATTTTTTCTCAGATCCCTTGAAATTTTCTTCGTGCAACCTACGAAATATACTACGGCTCTCTTTCGCTCAAAATTTTTTGTTCCCATCCACTGTCTGTGTCCTTCCATCAACTGTTTTTTTTTTTTTTTGCTATACTATAGTAGTGCAAACTTGGAGCGGGATTATCGAAAAGCATCCAGAGTACAGATCCTAACCAAGCCCAAATACATTCCTGTGGCCTTGGATGCACTAACAGCAGAGGACCATCAGTTGACCCAACTCTAATAAGTACTGTTCACCCAACAGCCCAACTATATTTTGTGCCGTTTACCCAACAGCCCAACCCCTTTGTGTACTGTTTACCCAACTCCACTTCACACTCGAGACCAATTTCCACTATCCCTGGGAATTGTCGACTCTTGTATGACATTGCAAGTGAACGGTAAACTCTTGATGTAATTGAAAGTTCTTTAGGACTGTCACGAAAAAAAGTACATATATATAGGCCATAGTCCAAGATAAGTTTGATCCTTACCTGGCAACTTGAGTAACATTTCATCCAAACCCCTCACATCTTCTACCCCTGCCCCGTCCTTTGGAACTGCAATTACCCTGTAAGTAAATGCCCTTGCTTGATACATCCCAACTCAATTCTCATTCTTCCAATGAAAGCATGTGTGTATGTCTCAGCACGTACTCCTGTTCATTTGACCGTGTTAAAAGTTCAGGAGATGGGTATATTAACCGGCCTCGTAAACTGCAACAGCGATGAGACACTTTATAAAATCTGACCCCAATTTTCTCTCATGCTCCTCCACTAGAAGCTCACGCTCTGATCAAGTTATACTCCAAGATGAAGCTGTATATTTTCCTTGCCGTCCTGTTCATGTCTTTCACTTGTGTTAGTGCTGGCGCCTGTGCGAGAGACTGTTCTTCCTTCAGGGGACTGGACACATGTTATAAAGCATGCGAAGGCTGTGTTGGAAATGGTGCTGGATCCTGCGTGAACAACCAGTGTATTATTGCGTGGGCACAGCTTTTAGTTGCTTGCGAGAAAAAGTGTGACAGCTGCTAGATTGTCGTACCCACAGACAAATTTTTAAACATTACAAGCAAATAAACTGGTTAGCGTTACGGAATGTAACGACGACTAAAGACTATTATTCGACAACGCCAAGGACTCTAGATGTCCCACCCAACCCACCCATTTCTAGCAAGTAGATAGGGATCAAAAGATCGCCTAGAGTTCCCTTTTGATTATTTCAATTATTTTTTTCGGAAGCCACGGTTAAGATTAAAAGAAAGGTGCACATAGATAGAGTCCTTCGCAAGCAAGAATAATTGCTACTAATCGGATGCGACTGGGTGTCTTGGTGTATCCCTTAGTGGTACTTCTCTACTGTCTTCTGGTTCCAGGCTGGTACTCGCAAAGAACAACTTGCCTATAACCCTTCCGGCAATAGCCTATTGTCATTTTTCCCCATTACCCTATTGCCTATTTGCCTTCTCTATTCATTCTCTCCATTTACCCGTCTTGCATTTTTGATTTCATTTACAGCAGAGAAACATTCAGTTACTTACTACAGATAGGTCTGTTCTCTGTTCTTGTTCCTCAGTCTACATCAACTCGCTTCCCACCTGTCTCCTGTCCACTAATTCTTTGCACACCATTCCTTCCCTTCTCATTTCCACATAATAAAACCATAACAAAAACATTACACGTTCGTTCGAGTCCTGAAAGTTCATCGCACAAGGATGCATCCAGAAGGCAGTGACTAAATATCACCTAAGCAGACGGCACATCCCTACTGGAAGTATATTTTTTTTTTGTGCTTTATAATTTATTAGGCACTGTTGCAAGGGGCCGATTCATGCACGACATTTCTACTGAATAGATCTAAGTCGTCTACGAATCTCAGAAATGGTATCCTTTAATGCTCGCCGACGGCAGTTCAAGCGTCAGCAACAGCTTCAGCAGGCTTGTCAGCATCGAGCAAGGCCTTGAAATCCGAAGCCTGCAAAGTGCCTACGAAGTCGGGATCGCGGAGCAAGGCGACGAGGCACAGGCGCAGGTTGGGCTTGTTACCGGTGTTGGCGCAGACACACGAGCTGAAGCGCTCAACAGAATTGCACTCCTTGACTCCGATGACACAGGTGGCGACGTTAGTGATGTAGCGAGCCTGACAGAAGATGCTGTTGACCTGGGCCATCGCGGCGGAGGCGAGGCAGGCGACGATGATGCAGTTCTTGACAAGCATGGTTTGGATTGGTTGTTTGGTAGTGGTGTTGGTTGTTTCCGTTGAGAACGTAGTGTGATTGCTGTTGCGAGTTCAGAGTCTTGAGGTGGGGTCAGATGTGTGTTAGGCCAGGACAATGAGCAGATGCGACCTCTATATATACGTAAAGTGGGGTCGCAATAAAACACAAACAAATCGAAACATTGTCATTTGTGCATGGGGAGGGAAAGAGATCAAGGAGATACTTCCGCTTGGGTCAGAAATGAATAAGTCCGACGGCACACTGAGAAGATGAGGGAGGCCAAAAGGTCAAGGTGGAATAGCAAGAGACAACACCAAAGGACCACATTAAGGGATTGTAAAAGCAACTCGTTGAAAAAGAGATGTGATGGGAAAGACAAGGGATGAAAAGACCAAGACAACATCAAGGGACAACACCGAAAAGATTAAGGAATGCTTGCGAGAGATCATGGATCAGCATCAATGGACAACACCAAGGAATGCTTGCAAAAGATCAAGGACCAGCATCAAGGGACAACACCGAAAAAATCAAGGAATACTTGAGAAAAATCAAGGATCAGCATCAATAGACAACACCGAAAAGATTAAGGAATGCTTGCGAAAGGTCATGGATCAGTATCAATGGACAACATCGAGGGACAACACCGAAAAAATAAAGGAGTGTTTGCGAATGATAGGGGAATGTTTGCAGGTAAATGACCAAGAGACGCTAAAGTTGTCACGTGATCGTTTTACCGTTCTAGGAAATGTCTGGAACGCGATACTTACTAATTCACATCTACCGAAGTCTAGTGCCGAAAGCCCTAGCTACGCAGTGGAGCAAGGTGTTCAAGGACGTAGCAGAGATCATTACCCAGCACGTGAGCCGTCTCTTTTGTCGATATGTCGAAAAGGAGGCTAGGGAGCAGATATGGAAGTCACGCTGCGAGAGGACCATCAGGTGGGAGGAGGAGAACAGCATCACCAACAGCATGAAATGCACACGCACCACCAAGGAACAGAGGGCACAGTGGACACAGACCCATGGGCGGAAACTCCGAGAGGACGAGCGCCATTGCGGACAAGCCGTAGCAGAACACAGGGGAACAGCGGCGCCCAGGCGAGCAGAGCGATAGTCGAGTGGCTGATCGAGCAGTCATAGACACCCTGCTGGGCCTGAGGCGCATGGATATTATGGAAAGGAGACGCAACATGGTCATCAAGGAGTTGGAGGAAGAGCACACCTGGATCTCTTGGACGCGTCCCACAAAGCAACAAGGGTCGTCTGGACTCACACGAGTTGTTCCTGACCCCGGTGAGGACGGGCTGTACAATCCTCATGTGCGCTATACGGTTTAGGATACTTTACTGAGTGAGATAGACTATGTGCACGTACGAGGAACACTTGGACAGCTCCACTTTTAATTGGATATCATTGATGTGTCGTCACGGACGGGTATCTTTACCTTGAAAAAAAAAGTTACCATTGAATATATACCCCTGTCTTCTGCCTCTGGTTGGTTCCAGGCCGGTACACGTAAAGGAATATTTCCTAGACCTGTTCATTCATAGTCGTTTGCCTCTTCTCTGCTTTTCCCAATTGCCCATTTGTCTTTCTCCATTCCGGTTCTCATTACCATTTCAACATCCTAGACCAGTCCCCATCTGCTTCTTGTTCATCCTTTCCTTAGTTTAAATAGGCCCCTGTCCCCCTGTTCTTGTTCCTCAGTCTGCAATCAACTCATTTTCTACTAGTCCTCTGTCCCCTGTTCTTTTTCTTCACGCATTTCTTCTCCTTCTTTCTTTATTAAATAACAATAAAAAACCATATACATTCTTTCGAGCCTTGCCTGTTCTTCACAGTAGGGGTATCTCGTTTGCTAAGGTGATATTTAGTTACTTTTTCCTGGCCACATCCTTGAGCCTTTTTGTATGCGCAAAGTCGTACAATAGTACCCAGGAACATACCAGCACTGAATTCCTTATGAAATAATCTTTGCAACACAGTGCTTAACCTCAGCGACTCGTGACTCTATGGCCACTCCACTGTGTACAGTGATTGCATCATTGTTTGACAGCAGTCTACTTTGAGACAGAGTTGGACCCTTAAGAAAGGCCAAAATCCTTACCTGTGAATAAAGCGACCTCAAATTTAAATGAAGCAAGAATCGAAAGAGCCGACATTAAAACATCAAAAAGCAACCTCGAACGCTTGACTGCAACAAGCCAGTTATCACTCTTTTCATTAGTGTGTTTCTGAGATGTTGAAAAATTAGCAGGTGTCGCGTACCAGATTTTTTTTTGTTTTGTTTTGTAAGAAGTTTATTGCGTCGTGGGAGTGCGTGCAGATCAGCTTCGAGTCACCGCCAAATCAAAAGATGTAAAAATAAGATACTTTCCAAGAAAGCACACAAACTACATCTAAACTGGGAAAAACAGTTAAACAACGAACCGGAAAAAGGCAGGACAAATAAAATACAGATAAAATAGAGTACAAATGTTAGGTAGGATGGTTGGTGTCGGTCGGGGGTGGCTCGATCGAGGGAGGGGGTTGACGTTTCTCGCTCTGGTGTCGCGTTCCAGACATTTCCTAGAACGGTAAAACGATCACGTGACAACTTTAGCGTCTCTTGGTCATTTACCTGCAAACATTCCCCTATCATTCGCAAACACTCCTTTATTTTTTCGGTGTTGTCCCTCGATGTTGTCCATTGATACTGATCCATGACCTTTCGCAAGCATTCCTTAATCTTTTCGGTGTTGTCTATTGATGCTGATCCTTGATTTTTCTCAAGTATTCCTTGATTTTTTCGGTGTTGTCCCTTGATGCTGGTCCTTGATCTTTTGCAAGCATTCCTTGGTGTTGTCCATTGATGCTGATCCATGATCTCTCGCAAGCATTCCTTAATCTTTTCGGTGTTGTCCCTTGATGTTGTCTTGGTCTTTTCATCCCTTGTCTTTCCCATCACATCTCTTTTTCAACGAGTTGCTTTTACAATCCCTTAATGTGGTCCTTTGGTGTTGTCTCTTGCTATTCCACCTTGACCTTTTGGCCTCCCTCATCTTCTCAGTGTGCCGTCGGACTTATTCATTTCTGACCCAAGCGGAAGTATCTCCTTGATCTCTTTCCCTCCCCATGCACAAATGACAATGTTTCGATTTGTTTGTGTTTTATTGCGACCCCACTTTACGTATATATAGAGGTCGCATCTGCTCATTGTCCTGGCCTAACACACATCTGACCCCACCTCAAGACTCTGAACTCGCAACAGCAATCACACTACGTTCTCAACGGAAACAACCAACACCACTACCAAACAACCAATCCAAACCATGCTTGTCAAGAACTGCATCATCGTCGCCTGCCTCGCCTCCGCCGCGATGGCCCAGGTCAACAGCATCTTCTGTCAGGCTCGCTACATCACTAACGTCGCCACCTGTGTCATCGGAGTCAAGGAGTGCAATTCTGTTGAGCGCTTCAGCTCGTGTGTCTGCGCCAACACCGGTAACAAGCCCAACCTGCGCCTGTGCCTCGTCGCCTTGCTCCGCGATCCCGACTTCGTAGGCACTTTGCAGGCTTCGGATTTCAAGGCCTTGCTCGATGCTGACAAGCCTGCTGAAGCTGTTGCTGACGCTTGAACTGCCGTCGGCGAGCATTAAAGGATACCATTTCTGAGATTCGTAGACGACTTAGATCTATTCAGTAGAAATGTCGTGCATGAATCGGCCCCTTGCAACAGTGCCTAATAAATTATAAAGCACAAAAAAAAAATATACTTCCAGTAGGGATGTGCCGTCTGCTTAGGTGATATTTAGTCACTGCCTTCTGGATGCATCCTTGTGCGATGAACTTTCAGGACTCGAACGAACGTGTAATGTTTTTGTTATGGTTTTATTATGTGGAAATGAGAAGGGAAGGAATGGTGTGCAAAGAATTAGTGGACAGGAGACAGGTGGGAAGCGAGTTGATGTAGACTGAGGAACAAGAACAGAGAACAGACCTATCTGTAGTAAGTAACTGAATGTTTCTCTGCTGTAAATGAAATCAAAAATGCAAGACGGGTAAATGGAGAGAATGAATAGAGAAGGCAAATAGGCAATAGGGTAATGGGGAAAAATGACAATAGGCTATTGCCGGAAGGGTTATAGGCAAGTTGTTCTTTGCGAGTACCAGCCTGGAACCAGAAGACAGTAGAGAAGTACCACTAAGGGATACACCAAGACACCCAGTCGCATCCGATTAGTAGCAATTATTCTTGCTTGCGAAGGACTCTATCTATGTGCACCTTTCTTTTAATCTTAACCGTGGCTTCCGAAAAAAATAATTGAAATAATCAAAAGGGAACTCTAGGCGATCTTTTGATCCCTATCTACTTGCTAGAAATGGGTGGGTTGGGTGGGACATCTAGAGTCCTTGGCGTTGTCGAATAATAGTCTTTAGTCGTCGTTACATTCCGTAACGCTAACCAGTTTATTTGCTTGTAATGTTTAAAAATTTGTCTGTGGGTACGACAATCTAGCAGCTGTCACACTTTTTCTCGCAAGCAACTAAAAGCTGTGCCCACGCAATAATACACTGGTTGTTCACGCAGGATCCAGCACCATTTCCAACACAGCCTTCGCATGCTTTATAACATGTGTCCAGTCCCCTGAAGGAAGAACAGTCTCTCGCACAGGCGCCAGCACTAACACAAGTGAAAGACATGAACAGGACGGCAAGGAAAATATACAGCTTCATCTTGGAGTATAACTTGATCAGAGCGTGAGCTTCTAGTGGAGGAGCATGAGAGAAAATTGGGGTCAGATTTTATAAAGTGTCTCATCGCTGTTGCAGTTTACGAGGCCGGTTAATATACCCATCTCCTGAACTTTTAACACGGTCAAATGAACAGGAGTACGTGCTGAGACATACACACATGCTTTCATTGGAAGAATGAGAATTGAGTTGGGATGTATCAAGCAAGGGCATTTACTTACAGGGTAATTGCAGTTCCAAAGGACGGGGCAGGGGTAGAAGATGT